AGCAATACAAATGCAATTAACATAAAATCTACAGACATGTACAATATAGACACATCATAAGACACTTACATACAAACATAAAGAGCATTATTGAGAGACGGGCTCACTGTTCCTCAGGCTGTGACAGGAGATCACACACTGTGCTGCCAGTCCAACTGAGTTCCCTCCCCCCTCTCCCAGTAGGATTGGGAGTTGTTGTGATTCTGGCAGGTGTGGGGATTCTGGGATTAGATTGATAAATTTGGGGAAGAATGTTTGTCTAATCCCAGACAAAATTTCTACAGTGCAGTAGAAAGTGCGTTTGTCTCTGACCCTGATGAAGTACAGGCTCAGTGACCACAGCCTGGCCAGAGAAACTGGGGACACAGGCTGACCTGGCTGCCCAGAGAGGACAGGCTCAGTGACCACAGCCTGGCCAGAGAAACTGGGGACACAGGCAGACCTGGCTGCCCAGAGAGGACAGGCTGTGCTCCCACTGCCAGCGGGGAGTGTTTCTATCACTGGAAGTATGTTTTTTCTTCAAGCTTGGGTGGGACAGTGGGGTGCATTTAGTACCACTACCTTCTGACTTTCCCGCATCCCTGAGTTGGAGAAAGCGGTTAGAAAAAGGATGGAGGGGTGTTATTCCGGGAAATTAATCTGCTCCAACAACTAGAGGCGCTTATGAACACAGAACACCCAATTTGTGACTCAGCTCGAAACCGAAAGTGGGCGAAAAAACAATTACTGTTAACTTCAGCTTGTGTTCTCTGACCTCAGACAATCAAACAGCCAATAAAGGAACACGGTATCGCATATAAAAAACTCTCTTTCCGTATGCTCTTCATTAGGAAAAGCTCCAGCGTGTGGGATTCACGACCGAAGAAGAAGAAAGAGACAGAACTGTACTTTTTTTCCGGTTTCCGAAGCAGACTGAAGACGTTTTTTTTCACGTTTCCTTCTTACATTGATTTTCCAGCTCCACCTTCCAAATCCGTGACGGCTCGTAAGGTGAGACGCGAAATTTAAAGTGCTTTCCAACTTTGTTCCGCAAACACCGCCCGCGTCGAAAACCTGATTATACGGAGGATTATTCTGGGGGAGAGGCGCCTTTCCACGGGTGAGGAGAAAAGCGTCTTTTTAAAGTCTAAATCAGAGAACTCATTACACATCTAACCATTCTCCAAACTTTATCTAGTACAGGGTCTTAAGGTGCAGTGGTTAGCACTACTGCCTCAGAGCATCCAGGTTCTTTGGGTGCCATCTGTGTGGAGTTTAAATGTTCTCCCTATGTCCACGTGCCTTTCCTCCCACAGTCCAAAGACCTGATGGCAGGTTAATAAGGTTCTGGGATAATTGATCCTGGAGCGACAGGTGGGTGAGTGTGTCTGTGTCTGCACGTCCCCTTGCGATGGACTGGTGTTTCATCCAAGGTGTACCCCGCCTTGTGTGCATCACTTGTTGGGATAGGCTCCTGCTCTTCCGTGACCCCATTTTACTGGTTCCTGGGGTCCCTGCCCTTGCTGCTCCTGCCCTGCAAGTTCCTCCCTCAGTGCCTGGGTGCGAACCCGGGTCTCCAGCGTCACGCAGCAGGGAACTCGCCAGCTGAGCTAAAGGAGACCCCCCCAGCCCAGGGGGGGGGGGATCAGAAATCCCTGTTATACCAGGTTGGAAGCCGTTAGAAAATGGGTAGAGGTGGATAGAAAACTAGGATTCTGGACTCTAAGCATACACTCAGGAAGATCTCTAGAATATAACAGAATCGGTCTGAGTCTCCTTTCCTCTTTTTGGTAACCGTTTTGACTACAGTGATGCTAGAGGAAAGAATGAGCAGGCAAAATGACAAAGTAAGAAACACAAACAGCGTTGGGTGTGTAATGGTCTACCAGGGGGTCAATCGAAGGGATTAAATTACTGTTCTAAACAATTGATAAAATTCTCTAATCCAACAACAGGGGAAAAAAAAAGTGAAGTAGCCATCAGCTGATAAGAAGTCAGTTTGACTCCCAAAAAGACAACAGCCCTTTAAAACAGAGACATCAAACAACTACCCAGTCAGAAATGACATGGGGGGGGGGCAAATTTCTCTCATTGCTTTAACAGGTGGGCCTATTTCCCTGTTGGGTCATGATCACCCAAAGCTGTGCTTTTAACCTGACAGCCGTCTATCCATCTTCCAAGCCCCTTACCCAATACAGGTCCCGGCCGTCCTGCGACCCAACTTAGGCAAGCAGTGGGCACAAGGCTGGATGCACCCTGGACAGGATGCCAGGCCATCACAGGGTGCACACAGACACGCGTAAACACCAGGGCCGATAGTCCCACAAGCCACTCAACCCAGCAGCGTGTCTGTGGACAGTGAGAGGAAACCCACGCGAACACAGGGAGAACATACTAACTCCACACAGACAGCACCCCAGGAGCTGAACCCACAGCCTCAGCGTGCCAACCACTGCGCCACCCCTAACTTTACAGTTTCCCTTTAAATGGCTGAGGTTTACCAGATCGATGGCTGTCCATGCCGTCAGCATTTCTTTTTGCAGTGCTTTTGAAAATCTTAAGGGTTCAATTGATGTTTTTTTTTTTCTCCAGATCTCATTCAGGAGGGGTGGTAAAGCATAACTGCTTTTTTGCAGTGTACTGTAAAAGGCGGACCTACAGGAAACTTTAACCCGGATAAAAGTCATTTTATTAGGTATATCACTGGGCAGGGCTGTGCTATCGTCAAAAGTAAGATAACAGCCAGGTTCAAGTCTGAAAAGACTGCTTAGTGCACCTAAAAGAGGCTTTTCTACCTGGAGTTATTTCCTTGTACAAAGCAGGATCAATATAAATAAGACATTTTAACTTTTTTTCTTAAGTCAAAATGCTCTGGATTCACTGGGATGTCAGTCAAAGGCTTATGGAGTTCAGCAATAGGTTAAATTAGCCGCCAATGCTCTTGTGTGGTTCAGAATCCTTTGGGATTCAAGGAAATATTTAAACTAGATTAAAAGTGTTCTCTCACCTACACAAATTTAGTTAGATATTGCACATCACAATTTCATTAAGTAGTGGAATTCGGTTGAATTAGGTTTGGAAGAAACAAAATAACCGTGTCATCACTTTCAGCAACTCTTTTATAAAAACATCATTTTTGAAGATTTTTTTTCCCCCCTCATGGGAAGTAGCATAAAAGTTTACTTGAAATACAATTTGAGATGATGCATATCTGGTTTTTTTTAAAGGGTGAATTTCTGTTATCATAGTAGGATTGTGTTACACACCAGGTGTCTGGCAGTGTAAACAAATGCCCTGTACTCTTCAAACAAATTATAAAACAATAACTCATTGCATTTAGAAAGTTCCTTTCACCCCATGAAGGGGAAAATACGACAGATTTCACTTGCGTTTTAGGCCTGCCTTTGACTTCCATGTTCTTCTTTTGCTGGTGTCTGGCTGCGCCGCGGCAGTCCCTACTCTGTCCACAAGGGTGCGCTCTCGCCCCTGTCCCAGGAGATCGCCGGCTGATACACTCACCCTTGTGAACATTGTAACACAACATCATTTTATTAGCCCTATACAATTTCTTTCATTAGGAATTTGTCTTGCTCTCCATGAGACACACAGGCAGGGAGAGAGCCTGGGATCAGAGCACAGGGTCAGCCATTGTACAGCGCCCCTGGAGCAGCTGGGGTGAAGGGGCTTGCTCGGGGGCCCAACGGAGTAGGATTCCTCTACCGGCCACGGGATTTGAAGCAGCAACCTTCCAGCCACAGGTGCAGATCCGTAGCCACAGAGCCACAACTCCGTGGCTAAACAATATGGTTTTCTTGCAGGTGAAACACTGGACACCCATTGAATCAACGTAGAAAATCGCAGAGCCCTGTACTTCTGGCGTATGTTAAAATTCCATAATGGACCAAGTTCTGGAAAGGTAAGGCTAGTGACAGATTTCTCTCAACTCTCAGGGAAGCCGGCTCAATCCCCCACCTTCTCAGAAAAAAAAAAAGTCCACCACAGAGGTATTAGTGAAAAATCTTCAGTTCCTCTTCTACAGAGAACCCCCCAGTCCTCCATTCCACTCGAAGAGCCTGAGCTGATGAATTCCTGTCCAAATCCTTTTTTCCCCAGCAAAATATGAGCTTTCCTTTCAGTCCCT